GGTTTGCTGAGCTCATTATAGGAGCCACTTCTCCCTGAAATGCTGGTGAAAATGTTGTTAAAGTGTTAATAGATTAGCCATGTTGTGATGACTTCCTAAAGGCGGAATTTCATAAAGAGCAGGAACTTTTAAAGGAGCTTTTTAAGTCATATTTGACATACGACATTTTTATAACAACTGATGGTAACTTGATTGGGCTGTGAAATGGCACCATGTGCCTGGAAAATACATATTGTCCCTTTAAAGAGTGATGTGCTGTGCTAATGGAAAGAATTGCAGGTGAAGAATCTACTCCATTTTGAGGAACAAACCTGTTTTTTTGTCGCCATATTTTATGACTCAAAAAATATTTACCAATATGGCATACACTTTCAACAGTGTTGTGTGAAGATGGTCAGCAACAACATTCATCTGAAAGGAGGCTTGTTGCAGTTTATTTTGTACATGTTTGATCAAGGTAGTCAACCTGTTGTTTCTCTCAGTTTTGTTTTCTTTATTATATTTTTCACATTGGCTGTTCTACTCCTAATTTCACTGAGCAAACAAGTTAAAGTTGTGTTGTTTTTACATGTTGGACCACGTTTGTGAAAACTATTGGTGTATGTTAGTGTTATGTACTGGTGCATTGATCAAATGAATTAGTAATTCATTACATTTCTGATAAATAAAAGAAACATTTTAAATCAATTCAACTCTGTATCAGATCGGTATCTGCCGGTACTAAACCTCAGGTGTCAGTATTGTTTTGGAAGTGAAAAAATAAAAACTAGCCAAACCGTTGATCGTGTCTGAATAGTTGCCCATTACTGGCTTTTCAGCAACTCTTTGTCATATTATTGAACAGAAAACAAGCAATGTTTTTATTCCGTTACTCATTCAAAGCCTAAAATATCAAATTTGTGGTTTTGTTTTGTAGTAATATAAACTTTTTTTTTTTTTTTACCATGTATTGCTTGTTGGCAATACACACTTTAATCATTTAATTTCAAAGACTCACTATTGCAGCTTTAGAGTCAAAACATATTTGACAAATGGCCAAAGTTTCTCATCCCTTTTTTTAGGAAGTCATATTTTATAGATCAGTAAACTGTTCTGACTTTGAGGTATTTGAAATGTGGCATCAGCTTGTTCAGCAAGCGCTTTTGATGCGCACTTTTAGGATAAAAGCTGTTCAGTTTGTGAGCCGCAGGGCCAGTTGTTTAAAGCAGTAAGTTTGCATTGGGGCTGACAGATATTAGGCCGCTAGCCAAGGATAAGGTGTTCCCCAGGAGGTCACAGTGTCCCCTCCATATTCTGATGCGTAGCAGCTTTATGTAACCCGTTCCTTTTCTTTTTTTTTTTGGCCATTAACAGTTTTTTTTTTCCTGACACAGTGAATCTCCCAGTTGTTCCTCCGTTGTTGTTTTTGACATATTCTTACTTTCAGGATGCTTTTGTGCTCCACATCAGCTGACAAATGATAAAATCACCAGACATAAGAGGGGCTTATAATCTGCAATTTATGGTGTGAAATGTATTTTTGTATCGACTACAGATGTTTTTTTATTTTAGCAAAATCCCAAACTGTTTGAATGTCTGGCTGTGGCTTTAAGTGAACCGGATCAAAAAGCTCAACATTAACCTCTAGCGTGTGTCTGCTTTGCTAGGTTCCTCCCCTGCTTAATCCTGTTTGTTATAGTTGTTCTCAGTTTTTCCTGTTTGTCTGACCTACTGCTTCTTGCAAGGATTCAACCGGCGAGAGATTTCAAAGTTGCTAATAGAATCGACGGTTTTCTTCTTAAAATAATCTGTGGAACTATCAAAAAGTTGTGACTTACAACTGGTTTAGTCAGACTCGGTCATTTGTCGCAGCTTGTTTCAGTTCTTTAATTGTGGAAGTTCAGGTCTAAAAAGGCCGGCTAATCACCGACTGCCGCCACGTTCCCTTTTTTTTTTAAACGCCACGACGGACGCCGCCGTTCGTCTCCTCCGAGCGAACCTCACGTCTCCAGAGAGACGGTGTCTTCATCGTGAGCTGCACCCAGAGATGATTGTTTTGGTTCCGCTCTTGTGGAAATCTGTTGCAATCCGTGGAACAGGAGCACATGCGTTACTGTGGGCGCCGGGATGAGCAAGCTTTACTATAAAGTCTTGATCTTTTACTGAAGGACACAACATTAGCTGAACCGTACCGTTTGTTTGCCTCGTCCACCAAATTCCTCTCTGACTTTGACTTCGTATCTCGCTGAACGTTCTGTTTTCATGCAGCAGAGCGGTTGCAACATTCTAGTTTGGTCTAATGAGTCACCATCAACTCATCATCTCAGCCCCTGATGTAACCAGCTACTTACTCCAACAACAAAGCCAAAATAATAATAAAATTGTCCTCCTTTTTTCTGATTTGTGTTTGGGCTGGAAGCCTGTGCTTTCGGATATTGATGAGACAAAACACAGGTTGGAAGTGATGCATTGATTCCAGGAGAAGTGGCATCTGACTGTTATCATTTGGCAATTTTGTTTTTCCATCTCCAACCGTGCAACAATTAAAAACAAAGTAAAGTTTGAAATGCTGTTTAAAGTTTTTCTTAACAGTTTTTCTGCTATTTCTATTGGCAAACATTAACTAGTACTTCTAAAAAAATTTAATTTCAAACTTTGTGTCTATTTACATCCTGATGTGAAGCAGGTTCTCAAGAGCCACATGCGTGGTGTCTTTGTTTCATAAGTTTTCATAATTTTTATTTTTCTTATTTAGTAGGGCTGAAACAATTAGTCGTGATTAATCAGTTTTTTTTCCACTAATAGATTAATTACGATTAATCAACTCAGTAAATTATGATGTTACAGAAAGGTTAAAATGTATTTCTGTAGATCACTTTAAAAAGTTAAATTCATATACCATTTAGATTCATTACATACAGTCATCTATTTCAGAATTTATTTGATAATTCAAATTGGTTATTATTTCAATGATAAATTATTGAAATTGATTAATCGATTATATAAATAATTGTCAGCTAATATAGGAATCGATTAATCGCTAACTGGATTAGCTGATTACTGAACCGATTGATCCATTGTAGTACAGATTCAAAAAAAGAATTGTACTTCTAAAGTGGTATAGTTTTACATTCACCAGGTTAAAAGAAAACCTCCTATAAAGCACCTTTTGATATCTAATTAATCGGCTAATCCAAATAATAATGAACCGATTAGCCCCACATTGTATTTGTATCATCCTTTGCTACAAATGATCAATTGTGCACTAAAGGAATGAACTGGTATTACACTTTAGGCAATAAAATGTTTATTTTCATATTCAAAAAATGACTTGAATTTTTCTGTTTGTGTTTTTTTATGCATTTCTTATATTGTATATAAAATACTTATGTGGTTAAATGAAAAATCTGCAGAATGTGCCAATCTCTTTATCAGATTAATCAGCAGAATAATCGATTACTAACTCAATCGTTAGTCTTGGCCCTAGTTTTTAGTAATGTGCTGACTTTGAAGCCAGCGTGTTTAACCCTGCGTTCGTTACTTTTTGACACCCTTTACGCTCCAAGTTTGCTGTGTCACCAGTTAAAATCCTGACCACTGCCAGGCAATGAAGCCAGCAGTGAAATCTGAAACCTCACAGCACCAAGGAGCTGGAGTCTGTGTTTGAACTGGAAGCTGCTGAAAGCAAAACGACAAAATGTTAGCTGCCGCTGTGCTCGCTGAGAGGGAGGAGGTTACTCTGCTCAGCTGCATCTTGCTCTTATTTTTGACAGTGAACCAGGTGTGGGTTCTCTTAGCAGTGTGGGTGGGAGCCTTGTCCTGCTACAAAACGAACAAAGCATCTCCATATGGCTCGGCCTCGTCTCCTTGCAGTAGCTCTGCTTTTGGGCTGCCTCTGTAAACTTCAGGATGAACCTCAGTGAACCTCCAGGGACGCGTCTCTAGCTCCCCCTTCAGGCTGTGCGATCTTGATTTCCATATTAATATTCTTTGCTTGTCCTGTCTCGGTCTTTGTGAGGTGGCAATTCAAAAGGCTTTGAATTACAATCCGCTCAAACAAAGGCTGCGGTTATCACCTTGGTGCATCTATTTTTGACCACACCTTTTCCTTCCACTGAACTTTCCATTATTATGTTTGGGTACTGCACTCTGTTGCAAACTTCACTGGCACTGACCTTTTTTCTAAATGCTTACACTTGGTGTCAATGACTGCCCACTGTACAGATGTCAAATCGGCTCTAGTTCATGACTACGTCGGCTGTAACATGGCAACAAGATTTCGAGAACGTAGGATTCAATTAGCTGCAAGTCGTCATCGCAGTGAACATAAATAAACACACACTGTAAAATGTGTCAGCTTCCAAATTGAAATTTTGAAATAAATGAACATTTTTGGTGGTTTTATTTTTCCAAGTTATTGAAATGCATCTGTATCTTATTTAGATTACTCCTCCTTGCGTTGCTCTTTAACTATTTAGTAGTGCACCGATCTTTAAAAAGCCTGACTGATTTATTTTTTTGCGACTAAAAAGTTGCAATGATTTTCAGTTTTTCCCAGCCCCCAATTTTTTGTGAAAAACTTTTTTTTTCTCTTTCAGCCAACATCAGGAAAAAACAAGACACCGTTTTAGGATAGATAAAATGACCATTGATATTGATGTGGAGTATGAATAATACAGATTAAAAGTATTTTCAAGGTCAAAGTGAAAACTTTGAAGAAAATGGAATGGAAAATGATTTTCTAGAAGGAGTGCACTGATGGCAGTTTTCTGTAAAAATCTCAGATTCCCATCTTGGCTGATACCAATTTTTATTTTTTTTCTAAACTGGCTAAATTGACTATTGTTAACCACGCGTATGCAGATGTAATACTGATATCCAATCTCCCAAAATTGAGGAACTCGGGGCCGGATAATTTGCCCACCTCTTCATCGGTGCTCCCCTTTCCGCTGTTTCATCTCAGTTCGTAGCTCCGATAAACTCTGGAAATACTGACTGCGTTCGTCTCTGTCCACCTGCAGATGTTCTGTCCCTGAGTCATGGCAGACAGGAGAGCGGAGAAGTCATGTGAAGAAGCCAGCAAATCGTTAGCCAGGCGGGAGTACGAGGCGGCGGTCACCCACAGCACGGACGCCCTGGTGGTCCTCGCGCCCCAAGCCTCGTCACCCGGCGCCCCCGTACTGCCCAGCCCTCCCTCGGCGGTCGCCGCCGGACCCCTCCGCAGCCGCGCCCTGCTCTACCGAATTGCTGCCTTTCTACAACTGGTGAGCTACGGGTTGTTGGTTGATTTTTTTTTTTTTTTAGAAAATGTAGGAATAACTTGGATCAATACATTAAAAGAGTCTAGTCGTTTGCTTCAGCCCTGAAGTTGTGGAAACTTTCCCGTATCCTTAATTATAGTGTAAACGACTCTGTTTTCATTTAAAGACTCGTTTCCAACTGTAACGTCTGGACTTTGTTTTCTCTTTCCACCAACAGAAAAACTACGACGGAGCAGATGAAGACTGCAAACATGGTGGGTCGCACTTCTAGCTGTGAATTTACTCTTTGGTTCGGTTTGAAGCTGCGGATTGAGATGTTTGTTTTAATGCAGCAAACAAACCAGAGATTCTTTTGTTTTTCTATAAAACGTTTCTAGGGTTTTATTTTCTTTCTTGGGGGTTTTTGTTTCTCAGTCTGATCTGGGATTTCCCAGCAGCTGCTTTGCAAGCACTCTGAAACTCTGATATAAACTGGTTTTTCTTTTGTTTACAGTGGTGGAGGAGATATTTGAAGACCACTATTTGGAAATTGGCTCAAATTCTATAAATGTATATTATTGTTAGCCGTTACATGCTAGTTTAAAATGCACCAAGGGTAAATAGAAAAGAGTCTTGATGAGCAAGTACACAATCAATGACAAGTGCATTGAGAGAACATAACGCAAAACTGTAGTGAACATTTATTGTTTTCTGGCAATAATTAGGACATGAATCAGTTCCTCTAGGATGTTTTTTTTTCAGTTGTTACAAACTAAAATTTTCAGATTTTTATTTATTTTTTTGGCACCTTTTTCAAAAAAATTGCAATCAAACATTCAAAGTTGTATTTTTTGCCATAACATTGTCTTCCTAAACATAACATTCCCCCCCAAAAATGACAGGATTTGAACATGGTCAATATTTAAAGTGCAAATAACACTTTTAAATGCCTCCTTTTACATTAAATAGTAATTATGTCCTGAGAAGAGGTCAAAGTGCAAAACAAGGACTCTATATTTGGCCATCCAAGTTAATATGAACTTTTTACAGTGGCTGTTTTTCACATGGAAGATATGGGCAGTTACTCAGGGCAGCATCAAAGGTCATCCAAGAATTAAAAAATAAGATAAATAAAATTTTTATTTTATTTTATTTTTATTTTATTTAAGTGAAACAGGAAGTTCAATTAGAAGGAGTTTGGTGAAAGTTCAGCCGAGTTGCAGTGATTGGTCAGAGCTATATTGCAAGTGAAATGCAGAAAACGTGAAGGTGATCGGTCACATTTGTGTAAAAATTGCAAATAAAAATTCAAAGCAAGTTTCATTGCAAAAATTTGTGAATAATGAGTGAATTTACATTAATGGTTGCAATCACAACATTTCAACTTCCTGGATGGACTGATGAAGTAGGAGGCTAGCAGGCTAAATAACATTTAAAACCACTCTAAATGCTCCATCTTCACTCTCTCTTTACAACACAGCCTGGTTAGCGGAGCTTTAACCCGTTTCCTTTCACTCTGTTGCAGTTCTGGCAGACGAGGTTGCTCGGGGTGACGGCTCTCTACAGGCTAGTTTGCGCTCCATGCTTTTGGATGGCAGCCTGCAAGAGGTGGTCAGCATCCTGTCTAAATCCCTGTATGGAGAGCCAGTGGTAAGATTTGATTTGATCTAGTTGTAAAGGTGAAGTTGTTCATGCTCTATACCTGCTGATCTGTTTATCAGTTTGGAAGGGATTCTTAAGCCGTATTTCATATTAATATCCGTCTTAATGAGTTTATTATTTTGAACCAGAAGTTTAACTGTCAAAGCAGCAATATTACATCTTAATAAACCAAAACTTTAAAGTGTTGGTCCATCAGCCAAACTATATATATAGAGGAAACATATATGTTTCACCATTCCACAGTCTATATCAAAATAAGATGTTTTGTTCCTGCAGATAAAAATGATCAGATAACAAATCATTCCCAGTTGAATCAATAGAATGAATATATTGTGTCCTTTAAATTTTATTGAAAGTAAACAAAATAAATAAGAAATATAACATCAAAGTACTTGCTGTTGTTTGATGTGTTTATAAACTCAAAGTAGGTTTAAATTCATTTAATACATTCTTATTTTATTTGCTCATAGTTGCTATTTTATTTCATGTTTCTAAGGAACTCATCAGAAATACAGACCAGTAAATGTCTACTGTACTTTATATGTGTTTAAATCCAGACATTTGGTCTGAAATATAGTGACATTTTGAAATGTAAAATGGTTAGAAACTGTGTAATATGCCATCATCGGTGATTTAATGTTTTGTATTTACTATGTTAAGCAAACCTACATGCAATGAGTCAATAGTATAACTGTGATGAATATAAATACTATTTGCATTTATGTTATAATGAATATAATATTTTCCTCCTCGCTCCAGAACGGCATCGTTACAAAAGACCTGACCAGATTAAAAATGCTCTTCTCCGAAATTGAGGTAACTGCATTTGCTTTTCTGGTCGTGGATGTTTAGTGTAATAGAGTTAAAAATAAACGTTTTTGCTCTGTTTCATGTAGGCAATAAAAAGAGAGATGGCCCCTGAATACACAGACGACCAGGACGAAGGTGAGCGCATCTACATCAGGAGTTTATTTCAACATTTTGCTTTGTTGCATCAACAGCTTCTGTACATTTTCTTTCCGTTTGGTGTCTTTCCTGCAGTCAGTTGTCACTTTGAGTCTTTTCCTACCAAATTATTGTCCAGTGAATTGTCTGGCCACTGTACTGTTAGAGCTCTAGTGTTTATGCAGCTTTTATATCGACAGAAGTCCAAGATGGCTGGCAGTTCCGGCCTCCTCCCAGAGGGGTCACTAGCAGCGAGGAGTACACACTCTGCAAAAGGTAATCAGCAGATTCTTCTTTTGTTATTTCAAATAAATGTATGTTTAAGTTGAGCAATGAATGAAAAATGTTTCCTTCCCCCAAAATAATCTAATTTATTTTCCACCAAAAATCAAATGTTATTATTATTATTTTTTTAAGGGGGTTATTGTTTCCTTTTTATATTTAGCATTTAATATATGCCATCTTAAAATTTAAATAAACAATTAACGTACAGGCTATAGGACGACAAAAACATATCCATATATCTTTGTAGGAATAAAAAGCCTTGATCTTTATTATGTATTTATTGGGCGTTCTGGACCTTTATTATGTTAAGAATAAGAAATATGATGATGCTCTGAACAGGAAATTAGCAAAAAAATTAGATTTTATGGTTTTATGACATTAAAAAAATTACTTCAATAAAATAGTATTCATTTACCATTTCCACATAACATAGTTGTATTTGAGTTTTTGACTGGTTTAAATGTTATTTATTCAGATAATGGCACTGTCTGTCAGGTACAATGTGCTTTAAACTGGCAGAATAATCAATGCATTTTTTTAATCATTACTTTTTATTTATTTTTTGTAACAATAATTAAACAATAAAATAAAATGGATTAAATCAAAACAAAAAAGTTAAATAAAACAAAATTAATACTTTTTAAACTTGTTTTATTTTTATCATGGATTTAAAAATAGAAAAAAAATGAATGTTTTCAACTGTTTTTATTTTTTTTAATAAATAAAACATAAAAATAATATTGATTAAAAACTGAATGCTTGAAATATAGCATATGCTGACCTAGTGTTCATAAACTGGGTTTTCAATACAGATTCTAGTTGAAATATTTCCTCCAAGTTTGTTTTTTTTTGTTCAGAGTAAAATGACAATCTGTCAAACGTTTTACCAGCAGCTTGAAAAAGAAACTCATGCAGCTTTTTCTGTCAGCTCATTTATATAAAAGATGTATTTATCTACATCCAGAATTTCATCTGAAACATCCTTCATCTTGATGCATGTCGAATTTTGAAAGTTCTAAATGTCCCAACTTTGTAAATACGATCAGCCAGAATCGTCTGATGGAGCTGCTTACTGTCGCCGCAGGTACTTGGAGCAGGGCCTGTGTCGGTACGGGGCGCAGTGCACGTCGGCCCACTCGCAAGAGGAGCTGATGGAGTGGCAGAAACGTTACGCCTCCCGACTCATTCGCCTCAAACAGCAGCAGGAAAGCAAACACTTCACTGAGAACTACATGGAAACTCTAATCGAAAAGTGGATGAACTCCCTTTCCCCGGAGAAAGTGGTGAGCGAGACGAAAGTTAACGCGGCGGAACGCCTCCGGTGTGTCTGAAGTGAAGTTGCCTCTTCGTTGGAACTTTGGATTTGTTTTTCTGCTTGTGAGAATACCAGCGTAGCAACCGAAAACGTTTTTTTTCTCTCACCATGAGAGAAATGCGTGCAATATTTAGGGTGGATATTATTGTCGTATGTGAACTGTAGATTCTTCTGAGTTTTCTAAAAGACTATCAACATTTGCAAATCCAGTGTGTCATTGTGAGCAGAGGTTGATAAAACAGAGAAACTTTGCTGCATTTCATCAACTCTCCGTTATTGAATGAAAGCTGTGCTTACGCTTTTTTTCCTCATTCAGTTTTTTTTTTCTGAATTTACTGATACTGAAAGTTGCTGACATTGCACCGTCTCTCCTCAGTAACAGCGTCCACACCGAAGAGCGCAGCTCTCAGTTTGACTTCCTAATGCTAAAAATGGTGTGTTGCTTTCAGTATTTGGAAAAAGCCTGGTCAGCAGTCTGTGACGGTCAAACAGAAAGTGGATCCTGCTGGTTTTTCTCATCATGTTTTCATAAGACCTCAAACTTTTCCCAAGGTTTAAGTCCAGTATTGGAAGGGAAAAAATAACCTCTAAGTTTGTCTTCACTTAATTTGTGAACTGATTCCAATAAATGGTCTCAACTTTTCTTGTCAAGCATTAGCAGAGAGGAACTACAACTTTAATAGAACTTTTATTTATTTAATTGTACTTTAAAAACCCATTTCAGTATCCGTTTTTCACTGTCTACACTACGCTGACACTCTTCTTGATTGTTGACATGCGTTCTTCAATTTTCTTGAAATTTTGAGTCATCTTTAATTAAAACCAATATATTTTTTTTAACCCAATCGCCTGTTTCTTGGTGTTTTTCTAGCTAAGTGACAGTCTGGAAGGCGTGACGGTTGAGACCAGCTCCGGCCTTTCTGTTACGGTCACCTCGAAAAAATCCTCCCATTCCTGGATCTTTTCCTTGTTGTGCAAGGTAGGATGACACAGTCCCTGGTTTTATTTCCATGGCTTTTTAAAAATTGTACAAAAAGTCAATTTCCTTTTTTTTATATATATATATATATATATATGTATATATTTTTTTAAATTTTAATCGTGCTCCATTGTTGTTTCTGAACTAGCCGGCCAGAAAGCTGTTCCGCATTGCCTTGCTCTACGACGCCCATCGACCGCACTTCTTCATCACCGGCGTTTCAGCCGGGGATCGCCTGCAGTCGGTTCCCAAAGGATGCCAAGAGTGGACGCCCGGAGACGACACGGCCGGTTCGTCTGATCTTTCATCATAACGAGGATTGTTTTAATCTGATGATGAAATGTAAACAGCGAACGTTTTCTGAGAATCTGCCAATGTTACACCTAAAAAGAAACATAAACTGTTTATACTTTTGTCTTTTCAAACAAATAGCCGCCTGTATCCTTCATGTTGTTGGGTCAGCCTTTCAACCCAAAACGGCCGTTTCTTTGTTTCAGTTCTGCTAAATATCAATAAGTTAGAGCCACAAAACTTAAACCACCCTTTGAAAGTAACAAGCTAATTCATTTTTATAAACACCGACCTAAAAAAGTGCATTTGCTTAACGGTTAAAGAATCAAATGTAAACTAGGTTTTAGAAAAACAAGAAACTTTTTCCAACAAGTCAGAAATATTTCCTTAATCTGCAAATGTATGGAAAATGATGAAAACCATGTAGTGTTTGTGACTTAATGATGACAAAAAAGTAAAAAAAAAAAAAAAATATATATATATATTTACATTTTCTTTTTCTTGCAGAATTTTTGTTATTAATCATTGGAAATTCTGTCAAGACATTAAATTTAGGAAATAGGATTTCCTAACATTAGTCGTTTTAATTACATTTTCTATTAAGAACTGGTCTAAAAAGCACTATTTGTCATTTTCGATGGTTCATAATCCGCTGTGGAGAGCCTGAAGAGCAACAGAGGCTCGTTTTTACTTCTACATCTCGCTGAGTTCTCTGACATCCATTTAAAAAATATTAGCTGATATATTAACACGGAATGCAAGTGTGAGCATAAAATCTTGTCCATTGATGATCTCTTTTGTTTTTGCCATTACCCTCCTCTTCCTCGTCACTTGAAGAAGCAGAAACTTCACTTTTTCTTCTTCGCTTCTCAGGAAATGAGTACCGACCCTCTCCTCTTTCTGACAGATGAAATCACATCGCCACCATCTGTGCCGTGTTGCTATATTAACCGGTTATTACAGACATTCTGATTCATTGACAGTTTCGTGGAAATACACTGATATGTGAAGTGACGGTGTCCTACGGCTGGAACGGCACAAATAACCAGTGTCACGGTTACAGTGATCGACGTCCTAAATGGGGATTTTAAGAAAATTCTGATGGTTAATAGCTGATGGTTAATATCTCTTTAAGAGATATAACTCTGAAAGAGTTATATCTGTTAGTGCATAAAGGATTTTGGATTTTATGTAATATATCGAATCCGTCTTTGTATTTTTACTGAACATTTATACGACGGGCAGCTTTTTTCTTCTTTGTATACAAATGTGATGAACTGTTGATATTTAGTTTGACGTCTACTTTTGTAGCTGCAGTTGAAACCAAACGATTACATCCATTTTTTTTTTCCTCTGTTCAGTCAGATTCTCTTGTTTTAGGTCAGTTTGAATTTCCAAAGCTATTTCTATTTGCCAAACATCATGACAAGGAGAGAAATTAGAGCTTTATTTGTTGATGTCTTCACAATCAGGAGTTTACATACAAAACGATTACTGTCTCTTTAAACAATAAGTGATGGCATTGATGATGATGATGATGATGACGATGTCATGACGCTGGAAACCTCTGATAGGCTAATTGACCCAATGTGTTTGACCCAAGTACTAGAGTTCACACGCAGTTCTACGAAATACTGAGGAAATGTGTGTAAACTTCTCACTTTGAAGACGTTGACAAATAAACCTCTGACATGTACTTCTATTATTTTGACATTCAGCAAATAGGAATACTTTTGGTAATTCTAATTGACATAAAACAAGACGTTTGATGTGATTTAATTTAGGGCAATGAGGAAAAACAGCTGTATGTAAACTTCTCGTTCCACAGCCTTTGTTCTCTAATGACCGTTTCTTTAACAGACTGTGAGTTTGTACCCACTTAGAAAAACCTGTGTTTTTTGTCAGCAGCGCCCGACAACGGCCTCGACCACTGCGTCTACAAAGTGGCGGTGGGCTTCAGCACCGAGATCTTTGGCACCTTCAGACAGACCATCGTGTTCGACTTCGGCTCCGAGCCGGTGCTGATGCAGAGGATCATGGTGGACGCCGCCTCGATCGAAGGTACGATCGCAACGGCACGTTTACCCGCAGGTACCCCAAAAAGAGCCGGTCTCGATTCGCCTCGTTTCGCCACGTCTGTCGTTTGTCTTTCTCCAGACTTGGAGCACCTACTGGCAGCCAGGCAGCAGCTGCTGATAACCGCCAAGCGCTGGGACTCGTCCTGTAAAACCATCGTGGAATTCACGCCCAACGAGACGGTGGCCGACCTGGAGAGGAGCCTGCTGGCCCGCTACCAGATCCCTCTGTCAGCCGACCAGCTCTTCACCCAGTCCGTCTTGGACAAGACGCTGACCAAAGACAACTACCAGGCCCGGCTGCACGACCTGCTCTACATAGAGGAGATCGCTCAGTACAAGGAAGTCAGCAAGTGAGTTCAGTTTATAGAACTCTGGGTTTGTTTCTGTGCAGCAGCGATTCGGCCTCTGAGTGATGAGATGCTAAACCACCAGCAGGTGTCAGGCTTCACCCTCGTAAATTTGCAGCGCTTTAATGTCTCAGCAGCTTCTTACAAAGCAGTTTGATTTAACAGAGGCTGGTTCATTTTAACTCTGTATGGTTTATTCATTTTTAATGTTTTTAGCTTTTAGCTCGTAGTAACCGGTCCAGTCATTCAGGAGAATAAGAGCTGAAATATGAGCATCTGAAAAGGGGGTTTGTTCCTGTTCTGTATTTATATCATCTGTATTTTTATTGCTTTTGAAGGATTTTCACAAAATGAGACTTCCTTTAGATCTGGACGTTGCATTCTGTCGGTCGCTTTTTCAAATTTTACATGAAAATAACACACATTTATGGTTTTATGGGGGAATTTTTCTGCCATGATTCGAGACCAGACACCACATAGAAAACGATTGGACTGCTGTTTACTCTCCTCTGTGTTTGTTTTGTAGATGTGTTTTCATGGAAATAGACATAAAGGTTAACCTCATAAAACTAACGGCGCTCATTGTTGTCCACCAGGTTCAACATCAAGGCCAACCTTCAGCTGGTCACCAGCTTCATGCTAACTGGGATTTCTGTTGGAGCCAAGTACGCTCAGAACGGACAGCTCTTTGCACGCTTCAAACTCACTGAAACACTTTCCGAGGTAAACACAGCTTGTTGTTGAGATTAAATGTGTTTGTTTCACCTTAAAAATAGCAAATGTATCTTTCTTAAAAATATATATCACCTAAAAGCATCTGGTCGCCACTTAACCCACACACACACACACACACACACACACATATATATATATATATATCTTTTTTCCTTTTGTCAGGACACTCTGGCTGGGAGACTAGTAATGACCAAGGTGAATTCAGTTCTGCTGCTGCCGTTGGGGCGGGAAGGGTTCGGCAGCCATGCTCCCTCTGGGGTCAAAGAGCGCGTTTATGAGGCTGTGATAGAGGAGAAGACCAAGGATTACATCTTCCTGAGGATTTGCAAGAGCTGCTGTGAGGAGCTGATGCTGCAGCCTGACAGAGAAATACAGGTAAGAGTTTAAAAAGGACAGAACATTATTACAGGCTGATGCTTGGAATATTTTGCCAGTTTTGGTGAAACATTTCCATTTTATTTTCTCTTTTTTTGCACTATCATTTTTATTAAAATATCAACTTAAGTGTTTTCCATGTCAAAATAAACATGGAACGGAAAAAGCTTTTCTAGTAGAGCTTCCCCAACATACCCAACACACAAAATACTTTTTGCGCCGCACTGAATTGTCAGAGGTTTAGTTGAACTTATTTGTGGCGTCCAGTTACATCCTCACAATAAACCCTCACTCTCCTGTGCGTGTGTGTGCGTGTGTGTGCGTGTGTGTGTGTGTGTCAGGTGGAGCTCCAGTTTCAGCTAAACAGACAGCCACTGTGTGAGATGCACTACGCCCTGGATCGCATCAAAGACAACACCATCCTTTTCCCTGACATTGGCCTTGTCCCCACAATCCCCTGGAGCCCAAACCGGTACGTATCCAACATGTGGACAGTCACACATGCGTGGAGAAATCCCAGCTCTCTTTGAACACTTCCTAAAAATCTCCTTTTCTCTTTGTGCTTTCTCTGAATTATTTAACTGAGTTAATTCTAAATGATCTCACCTCAGTTGCCACTTCCTCACCAAAGAGTATGGTCAGTGCAAAGCTGTTGGCACATAGAAAAAAATGTGGGATTTTAATTAACACACTTTCCAAAACTATTGCTGCTTTTTTCCCCCAGCAGTCTACAACTTTTACAAGCCTAAAAAAAAAATCACAAAAATCATCTAAAAAGTCATAAAATTTATTTAGAGCCATTAATGTTACATGACCTCTTAGGGGGGAAAAAAGATCTGTGAAGTATCTGCTGTAAGACATTTGTTAGTTTTTAGAGACCATCATTTTATTTTTTTATTTACAGACTTTAAAACAAGAAAAACGTAAAACTTTTGAAAAAATAAAAAAAGGGATACATTTTCTTCTTAGATGTTATTTGTAGAAAATAGTGGGGGGAAAAAAGCACATAGTTTCCAACCTAATGGCAAGGTAAAATGTTTTTTCTTTTTTAAATCAAATAGTAAAATCAGCATTTGTTGTTCAAAGAGCCGCTGCTGTAACCAGATATTCCTATTACCTTGAGTTTTTACCTCCCTTTCTCAGTTTGCAGTACATTCAGTTGCTTCTCTGCAGTTTATAAATTAAGCTTATTAAGTTTTTCTTTGTATCAAAAAATATAAAAATCTGTCAAGTTTTTATTTTTGTCGTTAAAAACACTTGGTAATTGTCAGCACTGCAGCTTTCATGCTCTATGTTAAAGCTTTCTTGCTGATGCTAACAGAATATTGACGATGAATCAACATGCATCGCTGATTGGTTCAGCGATGAAGCTGAAAAATATTTTACGTTCAAGTTGATCTGACAGGAGGATTCCAGTTGTACAGAAAATGCGACATCTGCCTTTTATCCTATTATTATAAACGGCAGGAAAGAACGATTTGCACTCAGAAAATGTCTATTTTTATCTCGGTAAATGAACCCAATCATAAAAAGAGCTTATTATAAAGAAACTCTGGTAATACCACCACGTCATTTAAGTTTTGACAAATACTTCCACTGAGGGGACGTCACCTCAATTTGAGAGATAAGAGCATATCCGTCACCTTACTGGCCGTTCGGGAAAGCTTTCAGCTCCCTTCTACGGTTTTTCTTCCTCTGATGTCGGACAGGTGAGGGGAAAAGACGCGGTAATCTTTATTGACAAGAGACGAAGTCAAATATAATCCCTGTGAGTTTTTCTTGGCAGCAGCCTTTCTTCTCAGGACTCTAGAATAGGATTTATGTCGGAGTTAGAAATGAAATTCTGATTAAAGCGAGGAAGAGTGAACTTGATTTGAAGGAACTTCGGTTGAATACAAGCAGTTTGTTTAATCGTTTTGCACGCATCTGGATAACTGGCCCTTTAAAGTGGAGAAAAAAAGTAATAATTATTAAATAATAAATCCTTGACAGCTTCACAAGCTTCTCTGAAGTATACTTTAAAAATCATCTTTTTATGATGCTACATACAAGAATCTTTGGATAATGTGGACTTTAGCACAGTCTGTCATAGATCATCTCATCATTCACGATAATAAAGAAGTTAAAGTAAGAATGCTTAAAATGAATGTTTTGTCTACTAATCATGTTTTATTTTTGGTCCTTGTAACTTGAAAGATGTTTATCACAGAGGTTTTTCATGTCGAGTTGATTCCACTGTAGATCTGACAATGTTTCACTAAATGTAGATAAAAATTTTACACTACAGACTTGGTTTTGTCAGCTGAAAAGTCGATTTGATTTATTTATTTTTTTTTAAGCCTGAAGGGTTTTTATTGTCTATCATTTATTCACCTCACTAAAAACACTTTTTTTCCATGATCAGAGTTCTGAAACACTCTTTAAAGTTTTCAAAGTTAAATTATTCCTTTGTATATGTGTTGCTCCAATCACAGCAATTTTATTTTGTTTTGGTTCTTTCTTCTGTCCATCTCATCTTTTGTTTGTTCGCCCACCATCTGTCCATCTCATTCCCTTCTTTCATCTGTCCCACTTTACAGTTTGGCTGTTATCTGTAGTTATTTCCAGTTATAAAGTCTTCATACGTATGTGTACTGGAAACAGTGAGTTAATATGTACACTCTGTCTAGCCAAAAAAAAAAAAAGTCACCACCTGCCACAATTGCATTGTTTCCTGCATGATAAATTCTCCCAGAAATTGTTGCGATAAACCACAGTGTTATCAATTTCAGACAGTTTTTAAGTAATAACAGTGGCATAAGTATGCAAGTATATCCTCTCGGAGATCAATAAATGTAAGCTTCTAAATTAACAAATAACACTCAAACTGGAAGATATTTTAAATATCCAAAACAAAACAAAAAAACAAACAAAAAGCTAAAGACAACTGAAACTATAAGTATAAAATTACCCTTCAATTGCAGTATCACAAAATTAATTTCCACCCTGTGATAAAATTTGGCCTTGTCATCTTGGAACATTCCTATGCCAACGGGAATGTGAAAAAAAATCCCCATTGATAGAATAACCTGGTTGTTCTTGATGCAACTTGACCCTTCTAATACAGTCTATTGTGTTGTCCCTAATGTTTCCTGTAGTTTAATGTAATTCTTTGATTCAAAGTTGCATCAGTGAAATACATGCATAGAACTCAACATTTCTACAATTATACCTATATTTTGCATATTTCTTATTAATACTAGTATTACCCATTTGCTTTCTTTTGTAGCCTAACGTCTCTAAAAAGCATCTAACCCAAGTTACAACAAAGCTTTTAGGATTTTGGCCACATCTAGTCTATTACATTGCACAATTATAGGAGAGTTTAGTAGGCCTATATATATTATTGCACAATCTATCATAAAGTCAAGATTATTTGTTGAATTTATCAGACAATCCCACTTCCATTTTCATAATCCACATGTAGTGCACACTCTGACCACTAGATGGAATCAAAGCACTTCTAATCGCATCCATAGTGTGAGAGGCATATGTATCACCCAACATTTGTGGTATTCATGCATCCCCTTGGCTGTAGTCTTTATGAAACCTGTGACTACAGCCAAGTAGTCACACATATCACTTGTGCATAAGGTTTTAATTTTGGCAACAATGTTTTGCTGGGAGTAATAATGGGTTGGAACAACACAGAAGAACTCGACTTTAAATCTGATTGAGAATGTGTGGAGGAAGCTAAAGGTCAGTGTGATGATGCCAAGAGGAGCTTTCAGCCTGAAAGACTTGGATCTTATCACCAAATCAAAACATGTAAAAGGGAATTCAGGAACTACAAGAAGGTTCTGGCTGATTATGTAGACATTTTTATCATGCCATCTTTAATAATATAACCTTATTACAATTTTGCTGTAAAATTAGTCATTTTTATTTCAGAAGAAGAAAATTGATCGAAGCTATAATAAGTTGTTTATATTAATAAAGGTTAGGCCTTTTTCCACTCCAAACATTATGCTTTTATCTTATATAAACACACACACACAGACCCTGATTTATGTCTCAGTTGGAGTTCAATCAATTGATGTTGGTGGATTCACAGCTTCAGAGGATGCAGCCTTTATAATGAGGACCCTAATGTGTAGAGACAGACACACACAAACACACACTCTACATCCACAGCGACTCCCATCACTCATAAATATGTCTGCGGTCGCACGCATAGCTGTTTCGGACACACACACACACACCTCTATTTATCTGTTAATGTGTGGTGCTTCTCTTCAGTCTTTTTCAACCGCCTCCATTTTGTTTGATGTGAAGATAATAATGATTGCAGATTTATTAGCAGCTAATTAGTGTGGGGCGTTTGACTATTGACACATAAATCTGAAACTGGCTTTATTCTGGTTTAAGTTGATCAGTAGATCGAAAGTGGCTCCACTTTCAACTTAATTGAAATGTCAGACATGTCGGTTGGTGCATAACGTAGAAACAGAACAATAATATGTTTTCCTTTGGTCAAAAGGTGAATAAGGTCTGCCTCGTGAGTTTGAAGTTGCTCTTCGTTGCAATTTGTTTGAGTATTGGAGGACAATTGGTTTGAGACAAAATGTTAAAATGAGTTTGTGTTTGTCTCTTGTTTCAGGCAGTGGGACGAACAGCTGGACCCCCGTCTGAACGCCAAGCAGAAAGAGGCCATCCTGGCCATCACCACACCCATCTCCATCTCTCTTCCCCCAATCCTCATCATTGGGCCTTATGGTACCGGCAAGACCTTCACCCTGGCACAGGCCGTCAAACACATTCTTCGCCAGGACAGCAGCAGGTAGAGATCTCGGCTCTTTTCTTTTTGGCTTGCTTTGGGATCCCTTCACTTATATGTGAAACTTTTGACCAGTGTTTATATTTCACAGGAAAATCTAGATTTTCATGCATTATTGATCAGCAAATCCCACAGAGACCCTGTTCAGTCTGTGGAAAGAGCATCAAGATGTTGCCGAACAAGATGGGAGAATGTCTGCACTCCACAATTCTGGCTTTTATGCAAAAGTGGCAGAAAAAAAGCTACTGCTGAAAGCAGTGTACCATAAAACCAATAAGAAAAAGAAGTTCTGTTTGGGGTTTGCTGTAAACCATCCAAGGACCGCAAGGTGCTGACATGTTGACATTGTTTTTCTTTTAGGATGGAGCTGTTTATAGTAGAAAACCTGAGACTATTCGATACTTGAGACTGGTTCTGGACTCACCTTCCATCAGGAGCCAAAAGATTCAGCCAAAACTACAATGGAATTGGTTTAGTGTTGAGGCTCTCCCATACTTTATCTGAAGTGTCAAAATCAACTCTCATTGAAATCATATTGGGTCGATATTGGTATCGGCTAATGCTCAAAGCTGCAATATCGATATCAGAAGTGTAAACGTTGTATCGGGAGACTCCTCGCATGGGAAAGCCTTAAATCAGATTTAGATCCAATTAAGAAGCTATGGCAGCTTGAAAGGTTTATATTCAGAGACATTCTCTATTCATTCTCACTGAACTGGGGATGTTTTATAAAGAATAGATAAAACCTCAGTGTCTAAATGGATAACCCTGCTGGTACTGCAAGGAAATATGGTTGTACAAAGTACTGACTGGGTAGCTAAAATACCAAAGACCTTCTAATATTACCAAATTATTAGAAGGGGTATCAAAAGTTTTTCTGTATAACTGGGCTTTCCAACAAGCTATGAAGTTGGAGCATCAGGGACTTGGCACATGAATGTGTCAGATTTTAAGGGAGGTCAATTAAGAAATGAGATGTGGCGTTGTTCACTCAGCTGTATGTATATGTGTCTCGAAGGTCCTATTTGTACTGAGTGATTAGCTTTGCTTTCCATTGTTGTGAGTTCTGTCACTTGAAAGAAAAGCACACTGGTCATTTGGCCGAATACGTGTCATTTGTCCTCGATGCACATGGTTGGCTTTTATTACGGCTCGCTCTCTGGCCTTGAATGGAAGTCGATGTGCAGCGCGAGCCGGTCAGTGAAGTTACGCCACGTCTGCAGGCCCCACAGTGATGTACAACAATGTAGCTTCTTCACTGGCATTTTTCTTCATTACGGAGCCGGCGCTCCGTGTGACGCTGCCTGCAGGACACTCTAGAGTTTCTTGAGCTGGAAAGAAACCGATGTAGCACCATCAGGTAGATGGTTCGCTAGTCTTTATGAAAAATGAATGCAATATGTCAGACAGAGGCTTATGTTTTGTTTTTTTTAGTAGAATAGGGTGTATAAAAGAAAAATGGCCTTAAAAAGTGCAGTAACATATAATAGTCATTACTTAGGTATGGAGGGAGTCTGTGCATCTTTAAAGAGTCCTAAATTCATGTGTCTAAAATTAAGGCCTTAAATTGTCTTGAATTCATTTAAAAAGTAAGTTGGTCTTAAATATGTTCTTCACAGGTCTTAAATTTAGTTGTGTCATGGCTATTTAATCCTGTATATTCTATGTATTTTTTTTTTTAATCAGGATATTTTTGTTGGCTAAGGGTTGAGTTACATTCAGATGTTGTTGCTTTCTGTGACTCAATGTTGAAGGTTACCGCTAACTAGCTGCTAACATACCTCGCTAGCTTGGTAGCAAATGGAAAATAACTTTTAACTGTAAAGGACATAAAAATATCCCATTCCTCTTGTAAAGTCACGTTTCTTTAGATGTGCAGAAACTGGTTGGGGATTTTTCTCATTAAATCAGATTTACCTTTTATGAATTCTCTCTGGAAATTTGTTACTTCAAATTTTTTAAGCTTGTCTATTGTCTTGGGTTCAGGGCACTGATGGTCAATATTTCATCCATTTTGATGTGGAGGAACTGTGCTTTTAGATTCATTACCCGTGATTTTCTTTTCCCTTTGCTGTGCAGTTTGTTTTTCCTGTATTGGTGGATGCAGTCATAAACTTCTGACACAGAACTTTTCCTAAGTCTTTGTTGTCTTTACTTTTGTACTGATTCTGGTTTTGAATATCTCAATAATCCTCTTGTACTGCTTGGTTGATGTACTTTTTTCCATCTTTAATTGAGAAACGTGTCTTCCCCAGTCTTTCTTTTCTTTAGTTTTAAGTTTCTAAAACTGAAAAAAAAAAGTTTTGAGAGTCTAGGAGCAAGTGCCACTTTATACCATATGTCCTCCTGCACTGTAGTTTATTATTGCTGCTGTTTCTCTTTTGTATCTACAGGGTCCTGATCTGCACTCATTCCAACAGCGCAGCTGACCTTTACATTAAAGACTATCTTCATCCATATGTCGAAGCAGGCAACGAGCACGCCAGACCTCTCAGGTACTGCAGCAGCATCTCCAGTCACCCTCTACTTTGTTCTCCAGCCTGCATTGTTGCAATTAATGCAATCCTGAACTACCTCGGTTGTAATTTTGCATTTATTTCAGAGATGTGTTGTTTAATTTGAGGTGTGTAAAGCTTATTTTAGTTTAAGGAAGATACAGATTTATTTCCACCAAGTGTTGCATTAATTTTTCACCAAGTTGATGATGAGAGAGTCCAACCACTGTGCAAAGCAGTCTCCAGAACCCAAAGATATTTCTTCTTGTGAAAGAAGCGCTTTCTGCAGCTTACTAAGATTACATTTTTTAGCTTCTATCTGCTGTTTGGTGTGACTAATACAACTAGCATTAAGACTGTCTGAAAGTGGAGCTACCAGCTAATTTTTTAACTCTGCAAATGATAGGAATTTTCTATTAACAAGACCATTACAGTACATTTCTAAGATATCAACTATAGAAGGGCGTGTCAAGTTAAAACAGAAAAATCTGTCATTTGGGAAAAAAATTTCTAACAGAAGATTCAAACGTACTAACTTCAAAAAAAGCCACAGTTGGATCAAGGACACACAAAAAACACAAGGTGTGCATAAGTGTCAAACCAACTTGGCAAGTCTTAATAGACTTTGTTAAAAACAAAAAATAAATTAATAAGAAATGTAATGGGGCAAATAATGCATTCCAAGCTTTGCTTCGTCATTGGAAAAAAAAAATGCTGGGTCCAAACGAGGTTGTACAGAGTGGGATTCAAACAGGACCTTGAAGCAGCTCTGTAATTCTCCAGCAAATTCACTACAGAGGTGGATCGTCTCAAATCTTGAAATGCCTTACATAACTCTAAAATCCTTTATTTCCCAGTGAAAAGCAACTAATATTTGAGACCTTTTTATTTTTTGTTCTAATACAACTAGCATTACTAAGACTGTCTGAAAGGTATATTCAAGCAAATCAACCTTGAATTAATGCACAGAGGAAACCGTGTAAGCAATACTGAAGAAGCTAAAATCTACAATCTGGTTATATTGCTTTAAACTTTAAAAAATAAGTGGAAAATGAACAGATTTTAGATCAGTTGTTGAGAAAATGCAGTTTTCGCTTCTCAGCTGTCTGCCATTTTGATGTCAACATCCAGTAAAGTTATTTCCACTGTGGCCTCTTTGTCAGACTCCCTGAATCAGTGTGGCACTCCATCAATCCATTTTATCTGAATTACAGTTATTGAATGTTGCAGGCAGACAAATACATCAGCATTAACACAAATTGCTGCGTACCTTTGTTGTTTTCACCTTACGGCAGATATTTTCAGACCGTGAGGACGTGAACACAATATTTTTTTTTTTTTGAACCACCTTAAGGCGACTCTAACACAATTTCTTACTTTTCTTCTAAATATTTATGCAACTCCAGAGGTAGAGAAATCCTGCTTGTCTTGACATGCCCAGATTTTCTGTGAAAACTGTAGGGGTTTTTCTTGTCTGACATTGCAGAAAAGCATCATTTTTGTCTTTTTTTTTAATTCTGCACAACACTGGAATAAAAGTTTATGCAGGTTAAAATGTGCACTTTTTTCTCTCGGAGTCTCTTGTAGAGAACATATCTTAGAACTTTGCATCTTCTTATCCTCATCCTTCCGCCTTCTTTTGTCCCTCCAGGGTATATTTCAGGAACCGCTGGGTGAAGACCGTCCACCCGGTGGTGCAGCAGTACTGTCTCATCTCCAGCACACAGGTCACTTTCCAGATGCCCACAAGGGAGGACATCCTCAGGCACCGTGTTGTCGTGGTCACCCTCAGCACCTCCCAGTACCTCTGCCAGCTGGATTTGGAGCCTGGTGAGTCCAGAATAATCTTGGATTAAAGGAGCTGGTTATGTTTTGTTTTTTTTATGTGACATTCCATCAGCCTTCAGTCATTCATCTTAAAAATAAGAAAACTTGTTTTTTTTTCACCCTTACTCTACATTAAACTACCCCATATTTTGCAATATAACTTGTTTTTCTATTTATTAGTTCGTAGATATACATTTTGTTAAAAACCGGTGCCTATTTTCAAACACACCTTTATGAGGGTCTTCATGCATTCTTTAATTCGTGCATCTAAAATGAAGGCCTTAAAATGTCTTAAATTCATTAAAGTAAATGTAAGTTGGCATTAAATATGTTAATTGCAGAACTTGATTTTGTCATGGCTGGACTATTTAATACCAAGTAGTCTAGGTAGGTTTTTTTGTCAAAGGACTTTTTTATCAGACAGAAGTTTGAGCCGTGCACAAACATAATCACTCACTGCTTCCTGTGGCTCATGCCAGTTAATGCTACCAGTAGCAAGCTGCCAATACTTGCATGCTAGCTAGGAGCTAACATATGGCTCCCCAGCTAGCTAGCAACCCGTATACCATGTGAGAACCACAAAGATCCCAGGACATTCACAGTTTTGGTCCCCTTCATTTCTTTTGGACATCTCTGTCGTGATATAGGTCTTAATTTTTATTCATAAAAATGTCTTAAAAGGTCTTAGTTGGCGATATCAGCAAAAAAAAAGCTGCTCTGTGCATTAGACCTGCATTATTGGTTAGCCTTGTCACTTCGACAGTCAGCATTGGGAGATCAGAGTGGAATTCATTTAAGTTGTGCCAAAGTCGTGGAAAACAAACCGATTTGTCGGCGCAAGCTAATAACCGGCACTAATGTGTCAGGGGAGGGGGCTTTGTCTCTTGCCTGGATACGCCATCTGCTTGTTTCTAATGTATTGCACATCATTAGGCCTCCCACCCCATGTTGCATCTCTCCTGCTCTGCTGGCATTTGGTGATGAAAATCGACAGGAAACAAGGCAACGGAGGATGGCGAGTCTTCTAAGTAGCAGTAACGGATCTTCTGATGGAAACTCGGTTCTTAACTTTTCTTCCATCTTTGATAAAGCATTTAATTTGAGGTTAATGCGTTTCAAGAAGTGCAGGATATCAGAAATCATGTCATTCCCCTGACATTTCTTAATGGTGTAATGCTGATATCAGTTGCGATTGACTCGCTTTTTCTTGACTGTTTGTTTCTTTTTGTTCATTACTATGTTTTCACCATTTTTTATGTGTTAGAATCTTAGCTACTGAAAATATGCATCATATTGATATTGAGGACCAAAACTGACTTTTTTAAAACTTTGTATCATGTTATTAGCTGGAAAAACTGAAACTAAATTTGAAGATCTTGGTCTTAATGTAAAACTTGACTTGGCTGATCATGATTTTTTTCAAACAGAACCAAATGAAGGGTGATTTGCTTAGGACTATTTGACTCTAAATTTAGTATATTTTTCCCATAAGCTGACATTTACACTTGTTCTTCTAAATGCCAGTTCTCAAGCAGGATGTCAGACATGCAGAGAACAATTTGCACTGTTCCAATTGGCTCATTATCTTAAAGTGAGTTAAAAAAAATAATCAGTTTTGTTGTTTCTTTCCTGCAGATGCAAAATGAGTTAAAACCATTTAGTAAGAGCAGCACCTGTTCCTGGAATCAAGCAGCAGCTTTAATAGACCATTCTGTTTTCTTAATTTGCCAATGGCCACAATCTGTTTAGTCCATTTAACGATTCAACTGTAACGCTCGACCTGTTGCCGTTTTACCAGATTGATTATTCTATTTCATGTAAATCTGCTTGTACTTTTGGAGTTTAGAAGCTGCATTTCAACCATTTTTCATTCAAAGAGACTGAAAATAATCTCTGTTGTGGTTGTGTTAACTCTAAATAAGTTAACAGTCACTCATATATTAGAGTCACATGCGAGAGACAACCTAAACTGAGCAACTTTGTTCAGTTTAGTGCTTAATGCATATTTTTAAATCTCAATTACCCTCATGTTTCATTTTATACAGCAAAAAAAAAGCATCCTAAAGTTGTTACCAGAATTCTCATTTCATTATTTTCACAACAGACTTTAATCGCGTCCCTCGTGGTTTCACCAGGATTTGATTCGTTGGAAATGAAGTGATCAAAATTTCATGCCAAATATTGAATCTTTTTTATATATATTCATATTCCACTTTGTAGCAGCTTTTTTCCCCTTTTGGAGTACTGCCCTGCATTTTCTTTTAAATTATTTAAGTTCTGGCTGTAGCGCAGTCTTTTGAACGTGTTACGTAATTTGCAAGCTATCTTCAGATTCTGGCCAGCGGAGCATCATTTGCATCAAACAAAAAGTTTTTGTGTGAATAAACTGGTATCAGTAATTTTTAGGCTTCATTAATTAGATATGATGGATGCAGCACAGGGAACATCACCTAATTCTAATAGAATCGCCTTGTTTAATGACCTCAAACGAAGAAAAGAAAAGGACTGAGAATTTCTTGTTTCTGTCTGCCTTCAAGATGATCATTGATATGTGTGAAATATGCAATTATCAGCTGGCAGAACATTCTCACCAACTTTTGTTTCATTAGGCAACACATCTAGGATTTTGTAATTGTTTTTGCAATCAAAATCTCTGATTTTGTGGTGCTACTTTAGAAATGTTTGCAAGGAATTTTGTGATATTTCTCCCCCATTAAGCCCCTTCCAAAATATGTGTTGAAGAAAAAAAAAAAAAAAAAAAAAAAAGGCTAAAAAAATAAACAAATATTTTTATTCTTTAAAGAACTTGCTGACACAATCCATATCCTGAACAGTTTAACATAGTTAGCTGTAACCTGCTACCAGTAACTTACGCGAACAGAATAGACTAAAAATAAGGCCTTAATTAGGTCTTAAGATGTCTTAAATTCATAAAATTGTAAGTTGGCCTTAGATTTTTATTAAATCTAAGGCAGAGCTATTTATTCTAGATCTATGTAGTTTTTTTTTTTTTTTTTTACATTTTTGTCTGACAAAACATCAAGGAAGGTGCAGACATCTTCATTCATCAGGTGGTTGAGGCTACTGCTAACTACATGCTAATATACCCTCCGCAGTTAACTAGCTAACGTTTTTGCATCTTATTGTCTAAAGTGTAAATTTATCGCTCATTACCTGGACGACGTTTCTTCTTTGCCATTGGCTTCCTTTCTGCTGGCGACCTGTCCGAGACTAGGGGCTTTCTGTGCAGAAAAGCTGCAGAAAAGCTCAGCACTCTGCTATAGACAACATCGCAAAAATATTCGATTGTTTTTAAAATAATGTCATGACACAGGTCTTAAATTTCATTCATAATGTTTTTTTAAAAAGATTTTAAAAGCCTTAAATTTTAGTTGGTGAAACCTTGGTGTGCATAACTTAAGTATAAATTATTGAGTAAAAAAATTATTTTAATCTATTTGTTTTTTTGTAGGTTTAAAGTTAAAATCTTAACGGCCTTACACAGGTGTCAAAGTCTTACATTTAGCCTGAAACTTGCTGAATCCTTTCAGTTCAGCTGAAACGGTTAATAATCAGGCTATTCTGAAACAGGTATAACATATAAACCCCTCCTGTCAGATTACATCTACATATTTATCAAACTCATGTAGTACAAAATAAATAATATAAATGATTGAGGTTGTAAACAAGCCTAGTTCAGAACATCTATAGTTCATGTATATATTTATAGGATTTGAGACTTTGGGAGTTTACAGCTCGGCTTTAAAGATTCCAGTCTGTAGTTAGGCTTGTGTCAAAAACTACAAAGTATTTCTCTGATCTGATATTAAGTCGGGTCCTAAAGGGTGTCAGACCGTTCAGCAGAAACCACAATACATCAAACGGGCTCTGTAATTTTACACATACAGAATAATTTATGACCAATCTGACAAACTTTTTTACAAGCGTGGATTTACAAGACCTGGTGTGGCTTCATTCACAGACCTCTTGGCCAGACTTTCCAAACCTCCCCTGACCTATTGAAGGGTCGGACTGTGTTTCGAGGAGCCGTGCAATTAGAAGCAGCTGCCATTTAATTTGAGAGTTTTCTCTTCTTTCTGATTTTATTCGCATCTGCTTATAAACTCTCCCTTTGCCCCCTAAATATCATGTTATTGTTTTCTCCAAATGCAAACTTCACTATTAGCTCTGTAACGTGTAGAAAATGTAATTTGGACCCCTAATAGCGAGATCCATTCCTCCAACGCTGGCAGCTGTTTCTAAGGTGAAACATCAAGCGCCATATTCCTTCTTTGCTGTCTGTCTGCCAACATGTTGATCATAAGGACTATATTTTTCCCCCTCCTGTCCTCTGATTAATCTCCCCTTCCTTGCCTTGAGGGGTGAAACATTCCCATCCCTACCATCTCCTCTACATCATTTGTAAGCTTTTATTGGGTTGTGTTGATGTGGACTGGGGCTTCCTGTTTAATGCAGTTTGTATCAGGAGGTTAACAAAAATCGGTTGGACTCTGTAACTACAGCACAGCTTTTCCGCACCATGACTCTGATTGGAAAGTTAAACAAGTTCTAGAACAATGGCGCTCGCAGCGAGCTCTGGCAGGAGTTGTTTGGAGATGACGGTCCCCACGTGTAACACTAACAAGACATGTGACAGACTCGGCAGATGTCGCCGCAGTTTCGGCTCGATACATTTGTGCGCAAAAACACAGATGTTTGCTACTTTGTCTATGATGAAAGATTCATCAGACTGGCACTGTTTTTACCAGATTTTACAGTGGAGCTAAAAATGCCCAGAAGCATGTTTGCATGCATTTGTTTGTTCGATGGGTTCTGCTAAAGACTAAAAACTCCTTTCCATATCCGATCGCCCCTCTTTTTATAATTTTATTCGAGACATGTTTGTGGTGCTTGTTTACTTTTCTGACAACCCAGAAGTTTTATTTTATTTTTTTTAGCTGTCACATTTCATGTCTGCATGCACCTCCCTGTGAAACTGGTTCAGCTTTAGAGGCTGTTCGCTGGTTGTTATTCAGCCTCTCGTCTTTTTCTTTTTTCCCCTCCACTCCCTGCTCCAGCACTCATTTGCCATGCCGTTTTATCTCCCCCACTCATGCTGCCGAGCACCAGTTGAGCTTTTGAAATCGGGGTTCAACCCTTCTCTCTATAAAACCCCTGCCTTAGGTTTGCAGGACCGGTTAAATGAGAGTGTAGAACCATCTTGGAGCCCTCAATGAAAACAGAATGTGAAGATTTAAGTGCTAATGTGTGTGTTTGCACCAACTGACGTCTTAATTAAGCTTCTTCTTTATTGTCAAATCTCTCTCTAGCCGGCTTTTGTCTGGTTCAGTTTTGGCCGAGTTGGGTCTGCTTCCATCAGCACTGTGTGGTGTGAACGTGGGCGGGATGTCTGATTATGGGCGGGTCGTAAGTGTTCAAGAGCTGTAGTCATTTTGAGTTTTTACCTTTGGGCGGCCAGTTTCTCTGGAGTCTCTCTGCACATTTGTTTGTTGCGGGTTGCCGTGTCCAGTTGACAATTGATAAAAATGGTTTGGACCTCAAAGTTTGACTTGAATCATCGCCTTCTCGCCAGCTACTGCGGTCTCACCGCTGGTTGAAAATGGTGGTCAAGACATTACTGACGTACATCCAGGGAAATTATTTGTCAATTATTTTTCTTTAAATTGGAAAAAAAAAAGAAGAAAACTTCAGCGGTTTAATCTTAAGGTTTGATTTTTAAATAAACAAAACAACCCCTTTATTTAGCAATAAATAAATACATAAAATAAAATTAGGACTACATCGCAAAGAATGAGTTGCATCCTTTGGTGTTAGGCTTGAAATTTAAACCCACAATGGATTCATTTGACTCTTGACTGTTTATATGTCTCTGTTTGGTAAACTTTGGGTAAGAAAAACCTTCCTACCCATTTGACTCTGCAGAATTTTTCTCCGTCCACTCCTCACCCCCCCCCTCTGTTCCTCAAAGTGTCTTTGAGGAACAGAGGCCAAACTAGTAATTTGTGTTTTTTGTTTTCTCTCCCCCAAAAGGGTTGTTCACCCACATCCTGTTGGATGAAGCAGCTCAGGCCATGGAGTGTGAAACCATCATGCCTTTTCCTCTTGCTAGCAAGACCACCCGCATCGTGCTGGCTGGGGACCATATGCAGGTGAGACCGGAGGATTTGTATTACTGAAAATAAAGTTTGACTTAATGCTTGGTTTTACTTTTATACTCAATTTGCATTACATATGACTCACTATGAAATGCTTGTATGTTTTTATTTTAAGTTAAGAATTTGATATGAGAAAAAAAAAACAATAAGAATTTGGGACATTTGTTGCCTCCTTTGACTTTTCCGCTCCACAGATAACAGAAACAAAGACTTTTGTCAGTCAGGCTTTCTGCGCAAGCAAAAGGAATTAAAAACCTAATTTTCGTCATCCTGTGATTTCCTGTGCGCAGTATTATCTGGGAGAGCAGGACAAAGACCCCGTGAGAGTCTGGCATTGAATAATTACTTTTTACAAACTCTGTCTTTATCCCGTTTCAGTCAACACAGAGCAATGGGATGCAAACGCAGGATTCAGTTTGTTACATCCCTATTTTCCATTTGCTTTTCTAACCTGGAAAACAGGTTCTTTGCATTTGCAGAGGAAGGAAAGTGGTTTCCTTTTATTTTGCTTTGTCTATTCAGTAGTTTTGTGTAATATTCATAGAAGACTGTGGCCTTTACTGATTAAATCAAACCAAATATGTTAAATAAAGATCCAGTCTAATACCTATCTGATCTGTATAAAAAGTGGTCAAAGTAGAAAAGGTCAAACATTTTTGATACTTAACCTCAAGTCGAAATAAAGTTTGAGGTTCAGGTGATATTTTTGCTCTGTTTTTCAAATCCTTTTTCTTTTAGTATTGCTTTTAAGATGAAATGAATCAAATGCTACCAGTCGTCGGGTGTACAGTTGTCAAGTATTATTCTGCAGTTCTGCTGTTGAGCTTGTAAAATAAATCAATTTTTATTCAGAAAGCAGTAAGCATGTCAGTTACTTCTTTCAGTGGACTTTGATAAAACAAGCCCACTGAAAGTAAATCAATTGTATCCAAAGTAGCGGTGCACCGATTGCAGCTTTCTGGCTGACCAGTGTTTTACTGAAGTGATGTAATTTTACATTTTTTTGTCGATCTTGTTTTTAGCTTCAACGCTTCGGTGAAACGGAAAGCAATAATGGGCTTCATTTTTCTTTAACGAAATCAAAGTCCTTGGGTGACACTTTGAAATGAACCAAATTTCCCCTTTCCTCTGTTGCCCTGCAGCTCAGTCCGTTTGTGTACAGCGAGTTTGCACGGGAGCGCAACCTGCACGTGTCACTGCTGGACCGGCTGTACGAGCACTACCCCCCCGAATTCCCCTGCCGCATCCTCCTGTGCGAGAACTACCGCTCCCACGAAGCTATCATCAAGTAGGTGTGAGCACTCAGTGCTGCCGGCAGCGAATCGGTTCTGGGAAAGTCAGTAATAAAGAAGGCAGTGGGAGGTTCTGCTTATTCTGCATGCCGACGTTAAGGAGCAGAGTCTACCAGTGGTGTACAGACGTGGTGGGAGAGCAGTTCTCACACCGCTGTGGTTGCAAATTATATTTGGAAAGGATTTTTTTCATACAACAAACATACATTGTCACAAGTTATTTACTCTCTTCTTGTCGATTGGCACAGAGAAGTACATTTAAATTTAAATATAACCGTTTCATTGTATTGGTGTTTTCACCAACATGGTATAACAGGATCTGAAGGATTTTATTACAAATGAAAAATTACTTTTGCGATAACCTGAAGGAAGGTGTTTTGTTAAACATGTTTGTGATTGAGATTTTGATATACGGAACATGGAAAATAGCAGAAAGAAAATGTAGACTCAATTATTTTAAAATCAGTCACTATTTCAGGCATGACTAAGAAAGATTTTCCTATTTTATTTCTTCAGCTAAAAATATTTTATTATTAAGGATGTTGGCTGAAAGAGTAGATTTCACAGGTGTAGACATTTTTTTTTATTATTTTTTTTGTTCGCGTTCACATTTCAAACCTTGACGGTTTCACATTTAACAGTGAGTAGTTTCCCCTGTGTTACACAAAAACACACACAATTGTCGGCACATTTGTTAATTCATGCATCTAAAATTAAGGCATTAAAATGTCTTAAATTCATTAAAGAAAGTGCAAGCTGGCATTAAATACGTTATCACAGGTTTTAAATTTTGTTTTGTATAAACTATTTAATCTTGCATATTTTATGTAGACTTTTCTGTGATGCAGAAGTTTGAGTTGCCCACTGATGTTTTACTCACCTTGTTAAGTGAAGTAAAAGCTGCTAATGCTTGTTTGCTAGCTAGCTTTTTGTACCTATCTAAATTTACCAACTGTTGACTGGATGACGTCTGTCTTCACCACTGGCTCGCATCTGTTGCCAACTCACAGCTTTGGCCAAATTTACAAAAAAGAAATCAATTTCTTTTGTACATTTCTGTTATGGCCTTAAAATTTTCACTTTTAAAGTTTTAAATTTGAGTTTGTGAAACCTGTTTAAATTCTGTTACAATTAAACCATGTTGAGTTTGTTGGCAAGGAGCAGTTCTGTATAAAATCCCTTTAAGCCTTAATATGCAGTCATGTGTCAATTATTTACTTTAGTTTTAATGAGAAATATTCATTCATAAACTTCATATTCATTTCCTGTCTTTCCTGCCATCCCTCTGTTTTTTCTTCCCAAAGCTACACATCCGAGTTATTTTACGATGGGAAGCTAATCGCGAGTGGGAAGCAGCCGTGCCATAAGGATTTCTACCCGCTGACCTTCTTCACAGCCAGAGGAGAAGATGTCCAGGAGAAGAATAGCACTGCCTACTACAACAATGCAGAGGTACAATTTGGAGCATTTGTGTATTTAAGCTTAAGGCCTTAAAATGTCTTAAATGTGTTTTAAATATGCTAATTGCAGTCATGTCAGGACAAAATTTATCTCGTACATTTTATGCATTTTTTCTTTTTTTCTTGCTGGACTTTTCTGTCGGGCAAAAGTTTGAGTCACACTTCTGTAACTTGAGACGGTTGCAGCTAACACTCGTTTTTGCTAGCTAGATGCCAAAATGCTATCAAGCTAGCAATGATAAATGACAAATTTGCACTTGTCATGGGTAAGTGCAAATTTATTGTGATTTGACTGATTAAAGTTCGTGCATTTTTGTGACAAAATAGGTCTTAAATTCCTTTCATTGTGGTCTTAAAAAGCCTTAAATTTGAGTTGAAACCTGCAGAAACCCTGTCTACAGACCTGCAGTGTGAATTGGACTCTGAACATTCAGTGAAGGAGTTTAGAAACGTCTACTTCAATGTGTTCTGTTTCATTTACAGTTGTATAGCATATTGTAGTTCAAATAAAGATGAAATAAAATAAAAAACTCACTAACTGAATTCTGACTAATATAAATAATTAACAGATTTGTTATATTTGAAGTGATTTCTTATCTTGGAATTTGGAAATAAACATTTGAATAATCTTTATGCTTTCAGAATGATTAGGTTTTAGGTCAGCTCGACTCTGAACCAAAAATGCTTCTCTTCATATTCCAGACATTTTTCAGCTCGGGTCAGCACTGATATCCCAGGTTTTACAGATCGTCTGCTTTCATTAAACCACAGCTTCCTGTTTTGATGGACCATCTTTGATCCCTCACCGCTATGCAAGTCATAAAAGCACCCTTTATTCTTCAAAAAAAAATATTTTTTTTTTTACGTTGCCTTTTAGGCTCTGCGAGAAAAATATCCACAAATTTGCTCAGTGCTATTTCAGGTCAGGTGTATGTAAGGCATCATGATGTGAAAACAGCATGGTGTCGCCTCCTTTTCTTCTCATAAGTCTCATTTCAGGGTCTGTGAAGTCAATTTAAAAAGGGGACGGGGGTATTTTTATTCAATAAAGGCCTTTTAGAAGTCTGTTGAAACCAACAGTGTGTCTCTGTGTCTGGACTAACATGGTTTCTCTTGATAAGCAATAAGAAATTATAGCAAAAGAATCTTAATCAAAGTAAATTAAACCAAAGGCAACATGATTGGCTACTTTTATTTTGCCAAAAAAAAAAAAAAAGCAAAAATGTGTCATATTGCTGCTGAAATATCACTGATAATAATGATGGGAGAGAGATGATCATCTACTGAAATGATTAATCGTGATGAATCACTTTTTGAAATGATCAACTAATTTAGTAACCGATTAATCGTTAACTAGAGTCTCAGGAAAAGGTCAATTGCTGAATGAACAACATATTCAGAGCAATAATTAAGCCAGAGCTGTTGAAAAAATTCATACATATTGCACATAGGATTTAACAAACTTTCATTTTAAATGTTCTACCCAGAACTCCTCAAGTGGTAGTTTCAGCATCATCTGGTTCAAATTCTGTAAAAGAATAAATAAATAAAAACTCCTACTAAGCAAATCACAAATTAATCAACAGATTAGCCTTACAAATTATTGATAAGTCGAGTATAAAAGGCTGAGCTTTTCACATGTTGATGTTAGAAATACTTTTTACCCACAGACGCATCCTTTGCTACAAATAATTAAGCAGTTCACTAAAAAACTAAAAGAATGATAAGTGATTGAAATTTAAGCAGTGAAATCTGTCTCTTCTTTTAAAAAAAATGTATTTTATCTAATTCTCATAATCTTAAGTGGTTAAATGAAAAATCTGCAGAATGTGTTACTTTTTTTTATGCAGTTATATTATGAGAATAATTGAAAGAATTGCAAAACTAACGGTGCCTTATGTTTGTCTTTTAAACATCCACATTTTGGTCGGTTGTAGATACTGTTTTCTCTCTACCGTTCGTGTTTAAATAACAGCTTTAACATACGTCTGCTTAGCTGTTTAAGCAGATGTATGTCTGAATATGAACTTCGGTTCATATTCAGCTAAAATAAATAATATAGAATTATTGTGTGAGCTGAAATATTTCAAGTCTCTTTGTGGCGTCGAATTTGAAGCCCCGTTGCTGATGCCCCCGATCACTCCGTAGGTGTTTGAGATTGTGGAGCGGGTGGAGGAGCTGCGTAAGAAGTGGCCGGTGGCCTGGGGGAAGCTGGACGAGGGCAGCATCGGGGTGGTGTCGCCGTACGCCGACCAGGTTTTCCGCATTCGTGCCGAACTCCGAAAGAAAAGAATGCACGAGGTCAGCGTCGAAAGAGTGCTCAACGTCCAAGGTGAGCAAAAAAAAAAAAGAAAAGAGAGAGAAAAGGTTTAAATGATACAGAAAATTAGCCGTGTTCACTAGTCTGTGTACCAATCTTTACTTAAATGGTGTGGTAGTTTTCTTTCTCTAGATTTGCCTGAATTTTTCAGTGAATGTGCCGTTAAAAACAAAGCAGAAAAAGTAAAGAGAAGCTTTGGGTGAAAATGACAAATATGTTGTAAAACTTATTCTTTACGGTATTTCATTCTGGTTTGTCAGTGGTTCCATCTTTCTTTGTAATACTGAGACTTGTTGAGAATTTAGTTTCTTTTGCTTTTCTCTTTTGCTCTGGCTTGTGTTGCATCCAGCTGCTTTGTTCATGTCTCATTATTCACACATGAAGCAAAGTGCAGCTTGCAAACAGGAAAGAAAGTTTTCTTAGCACTTGGATTTTAAATTTCTTGCACATATAATCTCTGTGTTTTATCAACAAGCTCTGGAGTTGGACAAATATTAGAGTATCATGTCAGATTTTCTGCAAATGTGATCATTTTGTTGTATTCTTTTTAATATAGCAACAAGAACTAGGACAATATTACCAAATTTGACCCTTTATTGAATTATAGTGATGGCTTTTTTTCCTAATACATCTTGGCTAACATTTAAACCTGCTCTGTACCTGAATTAATAACACAAGATTAAATGTTTTCTCTGTTGCTAAACCTAAATGTTTTATTGGATCCTGCTGGATTGATGCATTTCCGTAAAATAACCAATGTAATAATAGAAGTAAATAAAAAATGAAATGTCTTTTTCAGGTAAACAGTTCCGGGTGCTGTTCCTCAGCACAGTGCGGACGCGGCATACCTGCAAGCACAAGCAGACGGCCATCAAACGCAAAGAGCAGCTGGTGGAGGATTCGACTGAAGACCTCGACTACGGCTTCCTGTCAAACTACAAGCTGCTCAACACGGCCATCACCAGAGCCCAGTCCCTGGTCGCGGTGGTGGGAGACCCCATAGCGCTCTGCTCTGTGGGACGCTGCAGGTAATCCCTTCAAATCTGACATTTGACAGATTTAACACCCGTATATTAAATATAAGGTAAAAACTGATGTTTCTGCATAACAGACTAAATCTTACTGTAACATTGGTGTTAAAAGTGTAAATTACATTTTTGTTTAATTTTATAAAAAAAAAAAGAAGCTCATTTAATGTTTTTCCATATTACGTCAAGCATTTGCTAAAATAAAAAATAGTACTTTTTATTCAATTATTCCAAAAGATTAGTGCTGCCCCTCTTAACAGAGATTACAATACAGATTGTGTATTTGTTGAAATACTTATATGTTCATTATGTACTTGTCAGGTTTATTTTTAGGGGATTTTCACTGTTATGTTCACCAGACATTGTGACTTGCACAGAAATTTGGATCCAAGTGATTTAAGTATTGGAATAGGCTGCTACACGTTCCCACTACGACGCTTTGTAAAGTGACATAAAACAAAATGCTTGAAAACTGTAGCTTCAAATAAGCGGTAAAAAAAAAAAAAAAAATCTAATTATATTTAACCAGTATTACACAAAACTCACTTCTCTGTGACATTTCAAAAATTGTGGTCTCTGTTGTTTTTCATACATGATGTCGTTGATTTATCACTCAGATGCTAGGCTGCTGTTAGCATGTTAGCCCTACTGCGCTGCTTTTGATAGCACTTGTTGATTATTTGAAAGAGTGGGAGTTTTTAAAGCGACAGGGGTCCAATCTTAAGGTGTTAATTTACAAGGTAAAATTTCTTTTAGGTGACGTTCGATATATAGAGGATTTTTTTTTAAAGAACTGAAGTTAACATAGTTACTTGATTATGCTTTGTGTGCTTGGAAAACACATAATACACATAAACACTATGATCTGGACCCCAAGATAGGAGCTGGGGTTTGATGGTCGCGTCCAATTAAGATAAATTTAAGGAAAGAGGAATAAAAGGAGTATAGATTGCAGCACATAATTGTGCAGCTCAAGGTGGCAGCATGTTGGAGGAGCTCTGTTACATTCAGATTTATTCTTTCTTTATAAGATTTGTTCCTCTTTTTATGGAAGAGGAATTTTTTCTGCCCTTAAGATAAGATGGTGTAAAAATCTTCATAAAATCAAGAAAATGATGAACAAGCCTGAGCATCCTCTTCTTAAGACTGTTATCCCACAACAAATCTTTGAAGAACATTGTGTTGCATTTAGTTTTCTTCTGGGGTTGGATAAAGTATTTTCAAATTGAATTAATTTTAATACAACAGCGATTACTTTTTGGATTAATCTGACTAAATTTGCTCCTTTACTTGGATATGGGCTGTAATTGATCCAACATGCTGTCGGCTCATTGTTTGAATCGATGTGGACCCGCCTCCACAGTCGTCTCCATAATGGCTGCGGTTTGCCAACGCGAGTCAAAATAACATGTCAAGGATTTCACTGTCTGGCTGTGGGAAAATGTCAGCCTGTCAGCATCCAGCCAGTAAAATTGATGCGATTAGGAGGAGCGCGCCGTTTACACAGATTTCCAGCAACGAAAGGTCGAGGTCAGCGACGCAGCGGAAACTTCGCTGTTAAAAACGGCGAACAGAAAGATGCTTTGATTTTAACGTGCACTTTGAAGTGGCTTAATTTTCGTTCTTGGTTTCTTTCCAGAAAATTCTGGGAGCATTTCATCTCAATCTGCCACGAGAACTCCAGCCTGCACGGCATCACCTTCGAGCAGATCAAGGCTCAGCTGGAGGCCCTGGAGCTCAAGAAGACTTATGTCCTCAACCCGCTGGCCCCAGAGTTCATCCCTCGGGCCCTCAGGCCCCTTCAGGGACACCAGTCTTCCTCACAGGGCCTTCATCCCCACCATCATCCTCATCCTCAGCACGGTTTGCCTGGCTCCAACAAGCAGGCCGTGCAGCATCACCAACAGCAGCAGCAGCAGCAGCAGCAGCAGCAGCAGCAGCAGCAGTCCCCTCCGAAGGTATTGAGTTTTTCCATGGAAATCTTCACAGCTGGTAGAAAAAAGAAAAAGATCCAGCAACATTTTCTATTGTTTAGTTTAAAAACTATAAATAATTACAGCTCAATCCCTTTGATTTCAGATTATAGCATTAGTTATTGATGAAGTCATAGCAGTGATTTAGGATCTCAGCTATCAGAAGCAAAAACTTTAGGGAGTTCACTTTAACACACATTGGATCAGGCTTTTGGTTGAACTTTTACACTTAAAGTGGGTTTAGTTTTACTTTAAAATATGTAAATGTTACAGAGCAGTTTACTTTTTTTGTTTGTTTGTTTTTCTGTTAATATTTTTAGTAGAGAATTAGTGAGAAGTTGAGTGGTCTGCTACATTTTTCAGTTTTAGCGAACACCAAATTATCAGAAACTTTTTCCGGTCTTGAATGCACCGTACCAAGCCCTACCAGGTGAACAACTCTCTTCGGTGTGGATGTTGTTACTGACAGAAAACCTGTTTTAAAGTATCAGGATGTTTTTTTTTTTTAAAAAACTGATGTCGGATGTAAGAATCGATATCGAGACTTGCCTCCAGTTTGTCCAGACTGAGAGAGAGAGCAAGATGTTGATCAGATAACAGGAAGACTGAGAGCTGCACATTCTTTTGAGCTTTAAACTATCATAGAACATAGAAATATTGTAGCTTTAGGTAATCGTCTATGTTCTCTATATGGAGTGATTACACTGTTGGATTCTAAAAACATATTAAAATGTCCACTGTGTGAATAATAAAGTGTGTTTTTAGTTTAGAGCTTCAGAAGTATCACAAAGTTTTCTTTAACATACAGAATAACTTCATCTCTGGTTCTAACATCAATATTTTAGAACTGCTAAAGGCAAGACATATTTCCAGTGTGATTCATAAAAGTAAATCAGAACTGACTGAAATTTGCATAAACAAACCTTTACCAAAAAAACAAACAAAAAAAAAGTTTGAGAATCGATGAAATTCTAAGCAGTTCAGCTTTATTGTTTCACTTTTGCATAATTTTATGCAAAACTGCAATTTTATGCAGCAGAGCCCCTGCTGGGTTTTCTTCTCTGACTCTCAAACTAAAAGGCAGATTTATAAATTGATTTTGTTTTTGGATATTTTAAACCAAAATCTGAAAAATAAATGAATAAATAGACATTTATTTTTTGTGTAGTTTAATCTGGAAAATATTGTAGGACTAGTTAGATATTTGGTCATATTTTTATGCTTTAGCAAATCAGCAAAGAAATTACCATAATAATGCAACTTCTTGTAAATGGAAAAAGAAAAATTCTCTACGCTTTCTGAAGGTGGGAAACAAATTACAAATCTGCTAAAAAGTCCATGTAATTTTCACCACAGGAAATGATTTTATGATTACCAATTTATCAGCCAGGAAAAAAGAAGAAAAAAAAAAAAAAAAAAAAAAACCAGACTGGAAATCAGCGATGTGTTCCACATAAGGTTCTCTTATTAGATTGTTTGGCTGGGTTTAAATCGTCTTTGTGTGGCTGTCTGCTCTTGCCGCCCGCCCTGAGGTAAAGGTTAACGAAATCAGCAGAGCTGCCAACCTGCTGCCATCACCCACTGGGCCTAATGAGCCCCGGCTCCGGCAGCCAGCTTTAGGGATAAACACACACTTCCGCTCCGCTCTTCCCTCCCTGCGCTGCTCACTTCACAGCTCTCTGAGACACTGAGCTGCCTGTGAGGAAACTACAGAGCGGGCGCTTTCTGTCATCGCACCATGAACATTTAACAACCAGGGCATTCAGATTGCATCGAATTTAATACAAGTTATTCTCAAACGTTTTAAAAATGTCCATCTGTCTTATGTTACTTAAAAACATTGATTTTCAAGAACCAGATTGTAACTTTTGTTTGTGCAGGTCTTATGAGAATTTTGCGGTCAATTTCCTGTCTGAACCTTTTTTTTTTTTTTTTTTTTTTTTTTTTTTAACGTCCAGTTAATATTTATTTTAATGATTTGGATATCAAGTGGGAAAAAAATGGCTAACTTTATTGCCAGTAGATAAGTTTACAGACTAACATTCCTCTGATATAATGGTGAAAAAAACAAGGATATGACAAAAGGAAAAAAATACTCAATGGGTCAATATGGGAGAGTGCTGTTACCATGGCCACCTGGAAGATGTGGTGCGTTTTAGGAGATTATATTTTAAAGTTTCTGAGCGGTCAATAGTGCCGATCATGGTACTATCAATTGTTTAAATGGTGGACAGGTTATGTAAAGTTGAAATTGTGAGTGAGGGTGCACCGATGGCCCATTTCTTGGCACCAGTTTCGTCAGTCTTGGGTGACCGGCTGATACTTGCATGTGAAACCGGTCTTATCCACCGATCTTCTCTATCTCCACAAAAACCTTAAAATCATCTACTGTCCTTTTTGCTCTCACCAGTGGTCACCCAACAAAATTAGCAGCGTTGTTTCTAATTTGGCAACTTTTCAGACTTAAAAAAAAAAAAAAAATCAACATCAACCAAAATCAGAATCATTAGGTCAGGCTTTTTAAACATTGGTAATTGGCCAGAAATCTGCAGTCGGTGCACCGCTGGTTGTGACCGCTCTTTATTAGACACTCAAAACCGAAAGGTAACTAATCTGCTTTTCTGTGTCATTTTACTGTCGCTGTACTCCTGCTGTTCTAAAGTAACTGTGGTTTCATAACTAATTGCTTTGCTTTCCTGTAGGGGAAACAGGCGAACCACACAGAGCACCTCCCACCAGATGGATACGGTGAGCATCAAAAGCCCGTGTGTTGTTAATATTACCGAACTGTGTATATTTGTAATGAGTGGTCCGTTTAGGTTTATTTGGGATTCGTACCTGCCCGCATGCCGTTTTTATTGGCAAAGAAAATAGTCAAGAACAACAAACATGCAATTAGATTATTTCCCTCTAAATGAACCCAGCGTGGGCTCTCTGATGCAGCAGCCCAGATGGATACACACAGGCCTGGGGCTGTTGACACCATCAGAGCGAAGCAGCCAACAACACAATAATCTTTCTAGGGAAGCACAATAAGTTTGTGTCAGCAGGCTGCACTAGTCTTTTAGACTTTTATAAAACCAATCTGTGAAAGTCTAAAATCTGACTCCATCTAGGGAATGAGGCTGGTTGCATTTTTCCTCTGCAGTGAAAAGGTATGAAATTTGAAGGTCAAGGTGCTGCTGCTCAGGAGCGTGGGGGAAGAAAATGAAGTTGGAAAGCAATTTTTGCTATGATTAAAATCTTTGCATTAGCAAACTTATTTCCTTGTTCTGTTGTAAGAATGTCGTCTGTCCCACTTTCCATCTGTCCTTTCATCTATTTGGGCCATGTGGCTTAAAAATACAAGTTTTCATACCAGATCCGATTTCCGATTTTAATCTACTTCGTTCTCACAAAACAGATTTTTAAAAATGGTAGAAAATATTTTCAAGAAGTGGCTTTTATTGTCCCAGCTATGAGTTACACAATGGACCATTAGGACCAGGTTACAGGATTTAAATTTTATGTTTTATAACATTCCTCATTTTAATTTTTCATTATTTTGTGTTCTAGTTGTCTCAAAGTGACGACTTCATTTCCCTAATTTTATGACTTTATTCTGGTAATATTAAAACTTTATTTGGCATTATTGCCTTCTGACTTTATTCTTGTTATATTATGACTTTATTCTCGGAATTAAGAAGAAAAATAAATCTGGTCCTAATTTTCTATCGTCATCGACTTGAATTCAAAGTCCAAATAAACAGAAACTGTAAACATGCTTGTCAAACAAGATGGCAGCCAAAAGGCGTGCTGACATCAGTCTGAACTGTGGAAACCAAAGAAGTGCATTGGTGGAAAAATAACCCAAATTTCCAAAAATTAAATCATAATTGTTCAATCGATAAAATTGATTTCCATCTATTGATCCTTTCTCTAATCCATCCATTTATCCCGTCTGTTTTTTTGTTTTTTTTTGTAGATTTTGTATCTAATGTTTGATCTTGACAGAAATCTACCTTACATTTGTATTATTATTAAACCACTAAATTTACCAGAAAACCTCAACGAATCTACTTCTAGAAACGTTTGTAGTTTGAAAATAGTCATTGTCATTGAAAGAAGTCTGTTCAAGTGTATTTCTTTTTATTTAATTGTATTCCTTTGTCACCCTTCACATTTTAGTACAATCCAGCCCTGCTGTGTTGATGGGAAACCCCATCCGGGCCTTCACGCCCCCTCTGGGTGCCGCGCCGGCCGGCATAGGGAAGTCGCCCAGCCCCGTGCAGCGCATCGACCCGCACACCGGAGCCAGCATCCTCTACGTACCAGCTATGTACGGAGGAAACGTGGTCATGCCCATGCCTCTGTCGGTACGTTTCCCCCCAATAACCTGAATTGGTCATCTGCTCCCTCACTGTGTGCGATGCACCGGCGATAAATCTCTTTGATCAGTGATCTAGTTTTGTCGTCCTTAGTTGCCCTGGCCAGGTTACCAGAACCGCTTTGCTGTGGACCCTCGCATCATGAGCCACCCAGCGGCCATGGCCTACAACTTAAACCTGCTTCAGCCACAGAACCGAGGCTCTCCCATCCCTTATAGCGGCGTCACCCACCCCTCTCCTTTAGGACTGGCCCAGCTCAGCCCAGAGAAGGACCTGCAGGCCGACCTCATCAGGAACGGTCTGCTTCTCTTGTGCTTAAACTTCAAGCCAATCAGCTGCAGCTGCAAATAAACTGTAAATGAGAAACACTTGAGTTGACTGAAGGTGGTTATGTTGTGACTTCTAGGTAAAGTAGACGGCTGCACAAAAGCCGAACAGACCCGTCTTCAGACGCCAGAGAGGAAAAACGCAGACATAAGGGAAAAACAGGCAGGTTTACCCATTAGTCAATTAAAGCGCATTCATGTTTCGTGAAAGCTCCTTTATTATTACAATTATGTTAAAGTCCATTTTTGTGTGTTTTTGTGCAGGGAGACTTAGACACCGGTCAAAGTCGAAGTTTAGATTCCCAACAGGAGGGTCTGGTTGGCTTTCCGAACGCTTTGCTTCACCGAAAAGACCCTTCAGCTACCCAAAGATCCCTCAACTACCACCTGGCACCGCCCAACCCAGCTTTTCCTCTGCACCCGGCTGGCGGAAGAACCTTCCCCCAGCAGTACCCCGTTCCTAGACTTCCCTACCGGGTCGGCCAGCCTCCACATCCAGGGATGCCCCAACAGAATCAGCAGCAACAGCTCAGTCCTGCCTTCACCGGTGGAAGCCACGCTTCCTTCTTCAGCGGCTCCGTGGCCGCTCACCGATCCGTGCAGTCGCCCACCGTGGACGGGGCGGAGTCTTCGGGGGCCGAGGAGATGAGCGGCACCGTTAGGACTCACATGGGCCACCAGGGGGCGCAACACCCAGGCCTGCCACAGCACAACAGGGTCAGCAACTTTGGGGAGGATGGACAGGATGGGAGTCTGGTGGACGGTTTAGGTGGGTTAAAAAAATGCTTTAATGTCAGTGAGAAAACGTGAAATGCTTGTACTTCGATAGTGGCAGAATGCTAATATAATAAGTGGAAAAAAACTACCATGTGACTGGTTTGGTTAAATCTCAGGCAAAAACAAAATGGTGCATTAGGAAAAACAATAGATGCAACAATTGAAGCGAAAAATAAAATATTTGACCATTTCAAGTCACTTAAGTATTAAGTCTAAAATGTATGCATGTAAAATTAAGGCCTTTAAATATCTTATGTGAATTTAAAGAAATCTAAGATGCAAACATTTGATGTCTGTGAACTTCCATACTTTGAGGCATTTGAGGCTAGCTGCAAATATACACCTGGTGGCTAGCTAGTTAGCTGGAGCTAAGTTGAAGCAAAAACTAGGCCATTTGAGGAGTTCTGGGTGGAACATATTCACAAAGTTGTTTTTTTTATCTTAAATACAAATGTATATATTTTTGTACAGTTTTTGCTTCATTACTGCTGAGTATGAAGTTCTTCTAGCAAACCGCCTTCTTTCTAAGTCTGTTTACTCCAGTTAACAATTAATCGATCACTAAATTAGTTGACAATCAATCAATCAACCACTTAAAATTTGACTAATCGTTTAATTCCTTGTTTTGACTAAGATGTGATCGGCCTTTTTACTAATTTGTTGTTTTGAAATGCAAATAAGTAAATAATTGAAATTCACTGAGTCAGTGCTTTTCAAATGACAACATGAACCAAACCCACATTTTTTAACCTTTCAGACCTCCAGAGTCCCCTGACTTTAGAAGCGCTGAGCCAGCAGCAGCAGGCGGCCAGACTGGGCCAGTGGGGGGAAGCAGCAGGCCCCTTCCTCCAGGGCAGTGTTGCCTTTCCTCTGCCCCAGCAGCTCGCCCACCTCGCTCAATCTGGCATGGCTCGCTTTCCCCCTCAGCTGCTCCGGGCTGCTACCTGGGGGCTTAATGCCAATATGGACGACGAAGCCGTTTCCTCTGCAACCGCGGGTCCAACATGCTCCAGGTTAGCCTTAGTCTAAAAAGTGTTTTTTCTTCTTTTTTTTTTTTTTTTAATGTTTATCATTTGAAATATCGTGTTTGTGTTGGATTGGACACAATCCTGAAGTCAAATTTCAAATAAAAAAAAAAGTCTGTCACATTGCTTTAAGGTACCCGGGCCTTTTGCGAGAGATGCCCCCACAGGAGCAGCCGGAACCGCGGGAAGCGACCGAACTGCAGCCACCGCCTCAGTCCCGCCTGCTCCAGTATCGACAGTCCCAGACCCGTGCCTCCGGCGAGCCCTCGTCTTCCTTAGCCCCCCTGTCCAATCACGCTGGCCCCTTCCCCGCAGGACTGTACTCCCACGAAAGCGGCCGGAACCTCCTCAACGAAAACCATCTCAACAACCCGGCTCTGCAGCAGCAGCAGCACCCGGGGAACCCCCTATACAACGCCGGCAGCTACCCGAATCAGCCACCAGCGCAGTCCGGCGGCGGCAGCCCCCCACCATCGAACGTGAAGTATCTCCTGCAGGAAGCGCAGTGGTCTCACGGCGGAGCGGCGTCCGTGTCCCAGCAGAACCACCTCCTAGGGAACCAGAGCCATAGCCTTCTGTACGGACTGCCCCTGATGGCTCACCCCAACAGGCCGGAGCAGGTGCTGATGCAACTCCACCACCACCAGCAGCAGCAACACCATCAACAGCAACAGCAACAAAATCAAGGCCCGGACTCTGAGTCCTACCACCCTCTGTCCCCTAGAACATCAGCAGCCGCAGCCCTCCACAGCGTAGACGAGGTACACCTGCTTCCTTTGTCGTTTTGCACCAATCCACTTTTTTTTCTTCCCCCTTCCGATGTCTGAGGGTGAGTAACGGCCGATCCCGATTCAGAAAAACCGGGATAATTGACTTTAAATGTTTCTTTTTATTAAAAAAACACAGACATATTAAAACAAAACAGCCACATCTCTGAACATGTTATCATTAATCAATCACTAAATTAGTTGACTACTATTTTAATGATCAATTAATCACTTAAAATTTGACTAATCGTTTAATTCCTTGTTTTGACTAAGATGTGATCGGCCTTTTTACTAATTTGTTGTTTTGAAATGCAAATAAGTAAATAATTGAAATTCACTGAGTCAGTGCTTTTCAAATGACATGAACCAATCCCACATTTTTTAACCTTTCAATGACATCGTATAACAATGATGTCATTGTTATACGAGATAAAAATGACATCATTTCCCCTAATATAAATCTAATTTCTGTCATGATTTAGTTGTTCAATTTCATTCATAATGGTTTTTTAAGGTCTTGAAAGGTTTTGTGTTTGATACCTGAAGAAACCCTGAATTTTATTAAAAAGCTTTAAAAAAGAGGAGAGCAAACTCAGCTCCAGCAAAGTACTACTAGATCTTTGAGGTGCAGAAGGGAAGCGATTCCTTTTTTAATTACTGTTGCTGTAATGACTTCCTTTCTGTGTTTTCTGTTTCTCTTAGAAATGCACCGATTCACTTTTTTCACTTCCGATACAGATATCGGAGGTTTAGTATCGGCTGAGACCGATCCGATCTGATACGATACAAACAGTCCTGAATTGACTTAAAATGTTTTTTTTGTTTAAACAGAGACGTAAACGTACTGAATTACTCTTTTATTTGATAATTCTGCATCAAATAAAACACTTAAAACCTTGATGAAACATATAAAAATAACACAATTTATTTTTTAGTTGGCGCAATTAGGAGTAAAACAGCCAAATTAAAATCTTTTTTTGTTTTTTGGCTCTCGTGGCCTTTAATTGATAGTTAATTGACAGGAAAGTTGGTAATGAGAGAAGGAGGAAGGCATGCAGCAAAGGTCGCCAAGGCCGGGAATCGAACCTGCGACAGCTGCGTCGAGGACTAAGGCCTCCATATGTGGGTTGTCCTTAAGCCCTGCACCACCACAGCACACCCCATAAATTAAAATCTTGACAACCTTGGTCAAATGTAAAAGAAAAACTACAACAAACCTTTCAAATTTTCAGAAAGTTATTTTAGGGATTCTAAATATGATGTAAAATAAATATTAAATCATGACGTCATTCAGACAACAAAGTTAGAATCTGACTGAATAGAACCGCCCAAATAGAACGGGCACATTGTCACTAGTATCCACTCTAGAGTTTTTGAAAATTTTTTTAGAATATCAGGACCATTACAGATATGAATACAGGATCGGTGCATCTATGCATGTTATGTAGCCGTTTCCTCCCCCTCTTTAAATAAGCTGCCTGGCTGTGGATTCTAGATGAAATCTCCTGTCAGTGTCGTGTTGAAGCCGAGTCCAGGCAGATAAATATAACCTTCCTGCTCCTCCACCCTTCTGCTCCCTCGCAGTATGAACCGAGAGGTCCGGGCCGGCCCCTCTATCAGCGCCGCATCTCCTCCAGCTACCCGGATGAATCATCTCCAGCCCACCCCTGTCATCCCGAGCCCCAGGATCACCCGCAGCAACCGCACGGCTCCTACAGCTACCCCCCCCACGACCACCTCTGGCCCAGCAACGGCGGGGGTCCCGGTCCATTCCAGAACATTCCATGCAACGGAGCCAGCAAACTAGTTCAGCATCGTGAGCTTCTAGGTGGGCGGGTGTGTGTGTGTGTGTGCGCGTTTGTTTCTAATACCTTGTGGGGGCCTGACACTGTTTGAATTCCTGATTTCGTTACCAGCGTAAGTTTTGTTTTCTGAGCTTGAAAAGTCAAAAATGTCTAAAATTGAGATTAAAATTGGAAATTTTCTTTAAAAAAAAAATTAAAAACAGAATCTACAAATCTTTGACTTTTGAAACTCAGAAGTTCCCAAATTTTCAGACTAGAAATTTTCAGATTAATCTCAACATGTCAGTTTTTTTGCTGTAAATTTACTCCTCCTTTTTGTACCTACAAATAACCATGATACGTTGTCATAGATTTCAGTTCTTGATTTCATTAGCAAACGTAAGTTTTTATTATCGTTTGCCTTCTCCCTCCTGCAGCTTCAAAGGTCCATCGTCAGACGGACGAGCAGGTGAAGGCGGAACCGGCCGGCGTGCAGCAGCAGCAGCAGCAGCAGCAGCAGCAGCAGGCGCATCCACACAACCTCAACTCCCTTCAGCACCAGTTTCCCCCTCTGATGCCCAATAAGAAGCAGCAGCAGCCGCCGCCGCCGCCACCACAGCCCCCGACAGAGCCCACCCAGGGGGCCCCCAGTTTAGTAAAGCCGCCCACCATGTCGTACGCGAGCGCCCTCCGAGCGCCTCCCAAACCGAGAGCCGTTCGGCCCGAGCAGGCGAAGAAGAACAGCGACCCGCTGTCCCTTCTGCAGGAGCTGAGCATCGGAAGCTCAAACGGTAGCAATGGTTATTATTCTTACTTTAAATGAGAGCCGACTCTCTCACGTAGTAAGTAAAGCGGAACAACAAAAAGAGAAAAAGGAAAAAAAAATTGTAAAAGTTTTGTAAAATTTCTAAAAAAAAAAAAAAAAAAAAAAGGGGAAAAAAAGGGCTTTTTAAAAAATTTTTTTAAAAAGGTATTTTTTGTTTT